CAGTGCCCACTCAAGTCGAATCTTTTTTCTGAGACGCTTTTTAAAAAGAATACGCGAACGTACATTTTCTTCATGGAGTAACTGTTCTTGTGGAAATTCGTCGGTTAGATATTGCTTTAGTAATTTTTCTCAGATTTTGTCATCGTATTTTTTGTTCGCAGTAGCAGCGGTTTTCAATTTTTGTCGATCCCGCTGATTGAGAGAACCGACCTGATCGTTTTTACGGAGATTTAGATTGAAAAAACCGTTGAACTGTTGTGCGATGACATCATATCATTTTTACAATTGTTGCATCATTGTAACCTAGTTTTTGTTGCAATTATACCACCTTTTGAGAATCAGTAAGCGCTCTTAATTCATCCCATGCATCTTCGGGATTCTTCTGTGCAATTTTACAAATCCATATATCACTCACTACGTTTCGTGAATGGTTACTAAATTAACAGAATCAAGAGCACGAGGAACTGTTTCTCGTAATCTACTCCATGTGTAATTACAAATCGGCATCTGGTTTCCACTTCAACCAAACATCATCCTTCGAAAGTCTGTTTCGGATATCTTGTGAATCGACATCACTTCCCCAATCACTTACTTTTTCCACCCAATCCCGTTTCTGCTAGCTCCAACGTACTCGCTTCTCGATGAAATGAACTCTTGCTTGTGAACCATCACATTTATTGGATAACAATTACTACAGCTACATAAAACGTGTGCCCGAAATTTCTATGTATTTTTTTTTTAAGAAAACCTGTTACTTTTCAAATCCCTAAAACTCAACCCTTTTTTAGTTGATTAAAAAATCTAAACCGTAACTTTGTTCTGCATAATCTGTTCTATATGTTCTATAATTCTTACGGATAGTTTTTCTTTATATCCTCTAATACAAAAGCCTTAGAGTTTTGAAAGTTGGATAATTTATTTCTAGTTTTTTTATTACATGTAAAATTTTTTTAATATCATAAATATAGAAGTTGAAGTGTACAATACTTTTGTTCCCCCCTCCCCCTGTATCTATTCATAGTTATATCTCTAAGAACGGCCAGAATTGCTAATTATTTCTTAGAGAATAATTTCCTTTTTGCTAGACAAATGATTTTACTATTGCTAGACGAATGATTTTACGTTAACTATTATCTTTCGTGATTCGTGTTTTGTAGTACACTATTACTATTCGCAGACTTACATTGGGATCTTGTATCGAATATGTCTTAGACAATAGATATGTTTTGGCCCGTTTTGGAATTTTGCCCATTCGAATGATATATCACTTAAATGCAGTTTACATAGGATTATTGTGATTTGAATTATTATTTGGTCTAGAACAGATATTGATATACATAGGCAAACTCGATAAGTCGGACACTCGATAAGTCGGATTTGGCTTAACTCCAAAAATTTTCGGCCTTTTTTGAATAGTTAAAAAATTTCGATAAGTCAATACTGTCGACCAGATTATAACCAATGACTCTCGCCGAAAAAGAATAGAGCAAGAATACCGCGAATGCTATGCTAATCCTCGGGGGGAAAAAGTCCCTCAGGCTTTATAGCGAGCAAGTAGCCTTGCCTCGTGCTGATATCTTCTTGGATTAGTTTTGCGGTTACTCCTTGAACTTGGGAAGCCCTATAAGTCGAACCACGTAATTTTACGGATAATTTTTACTATTTTAGTAACGTAACAAATAATTACCCAATAATTGCGTCATTATTTAGCATCTAAACAATATTTTATTATCTTATGTCATCATTTATTTATCGTAATATATCATTTGTAATACATTGATACAATTGTCTTAATCGTTCAGAAAGACAATAAAAAGGTTGGCATAGTCAATTGCATTCCAATTTACAACTAAACTGCAATTATGAACGTAGAAGAAACATCTAGATTTGGAAGCAAAAAGGGAAGAAAATTAACCTCACTAACTAAAAAGAATTATGCAAATATAAGAGAAATAATCCAATCAAGTCGTATGAAGAGATTGGTAGGAAATTTGCATTGGCAAATCAACTGTAGGAGAAATGGCTTGCCATTACCGAAAGCTCAATAAATGCCAATAAAAAACGCAATCGTGGGGGTGAATGGCCACAGGTGGAAGAAGCGTTGGCAATTTGGGTAAATCTTGCCAATGAGGCTAATCATACAATAACCGGTGCGATTTTAAAACAGTTTGTATTAGCAAATAAAGTACGTTTATTATTTATTATTATGATAAAGTCGGATACCTCGTTAAGTCGGACACCCAACGAGTCCGACTTATCGAGTTTGCCTATGTATCTTCCATCGGCCTTTCTATAGTGTCCTAATAATTATAATACACAGTCACTCTCGATATAAGGATCCCCTGATAAGATGATGTTGGCCTAAGATGAGGTAACCAAGTCAGGTATGTAATGAACTCTCAATAATATGACTGTTTTGGTCCAGCCCGACGACTTTATCTTATCGAGAGTGACTGGGTATACGTGTATAACAATTAAATAAGGATCACAGCGCGTCTAATCTAATTGCTACTCTTAAAGGCCTATTAATTCTGTTAATACATATTTAAGTAATTAATAACATAGCTATTCCGTCATACGGACAGATAAATAAGTATATCATCAAAGGTCAGGTTCGGCGTGTGTATCTGGTACACAATAGCAGACGAAGAAATGCCGCTCATATATATAATATTTAATGCCCGTTATATATTATATCGTAAATAATAGGTGCTCTTGCCAAATAAAGTGGAAAAAAATTTTATTGTTTGATAAATCATACAATAAGATTGTAGTAAAAACAGCAATATAAGTAGCACGATTACTGAAAACGTATCTCCCGGAAAGTAAATTACCTCCCCTACAGTGATTGCTGATTTAGCAACTTCGATTGCCAAATCTGATAGGGAATGAAGGTTAGGTTCAACATCAACATCAACATTTTTCTTTCCAATGTATACTCCTATTTATTGAATATTCGTCAAGAGTATCCGCATTTCGCTTCGAGTCTCTATCACGCTATATGGCTCCAATACTCTACTAACATTTTGGCATAGATTCCCCCTCATTGACGAAATAATATTTTAATTTAAACAAAATAACGATACATTCACAATAACCTTTGTTGTATCGAACGAGTATCAACTTTCCGAGTATATTTCAACTATTATTCGAACATTTGTTCTTCATGTCGATATAATATTCCTTGCTTAGAATAGTTTTAATATTCCAATAAAATCCGCGTTTAATTATAAATTTATTTCGTTTATTCACTGGCGAAGATTTTCTATCGCTGATGAAGTGCAAACACCTTACGTACATAGTGAGCATTTTGAAAACCAAACGTAAGATCGCTAATTGTCATTAGAAAGTTTAGCACAAGTAAGAATAGTCAAGAGAAAGGCTAAATTCTAAGGCCAGTATACGATCGTTCTCCCGCGTCGACAATCCAATTTAGTATTGGTTAGGTCGTTCCACAACATTTCGATTTCTGGCGAATAAATTTTGTTGACAGTTTTGTTATGGGTTGTAACTTCATCATTTGAATTAAGGCTCCCGTATTATTAAGCCAACCATTACAAATTATGCTATTTAGCAACAGGTCGAGAATGATAGTCCAAAAAAGAATTTGCTTGTGAATGTATGCATTTTTTGTAGTGTTATTGACAGATTTGTTTTATTACATTAACGATATTTATTGCGTTGTGGTTGATTTTTGAAGTAAGTGAACCAATGCTGTTTTTATAAATAAAATCTCCGTTTGCAGACAACGTTATTCAGTTTGTGATTACAATAATAACGTGACGCGAAAATTGTCATATGATGAAAACGCGAATTTCTGCGCAATTATCATTGGTCACACTCTGATAATACGTCATTGATTAAGCCACTTATCGGTGCCGCATCACATCGCGCAAACACGTCAACAAACGAGAAAATCAAAGAGCTAAACGATGTGAAAGCGCAGCTGGGAAGAGCCAAGTGCAGGAAGCCAAGTTAAAGAGATAACCCAGCACTACTGTTATACAGCCACGACCACAGCAGACATGGGAGAAGCTAGAGGAGAAAGAGAAGAAGGTTGAAGAGATGGGAGGTGTCTGCAATGCCTGATCAAAACAAACGCGTCTCGAGTCTCGAAGCAGTCCAGGAGTAGATGCGAGATAAACAAAATCAAGAAAAGCGTTCTCAATCACAAACACAGATGCGGACACCTCAATCTCGACGACGACGACGACGACGCTACATCCTCAGATACAGAGTCCATTTCCTTCTTCTCACACACATTCGTGGACTTAGAAACAGGCCACGTTAATATAATCAACACAATCACGACAGAAGACCCTATAATCATGACATCAACGGCTGTAAAGCCCCTCTACATCTAAAGAAAAACAAAAAGAAGAAGTAGAAGAGTCATCCCCCTCAGTTTTCGTATCCAATCCAATCACAATAGATCAACATGCTGAAACTTTGAACCAAGATAAGAAAAGGCTTCAAGACATGGGAATGCAATGCAATCAGAAGACTCAAACGTGCAAGGGAAATTGGTAAAAAGATTCAAGCGCCCTCTCGTCTCCCCTCTCGTCCGCCATGTACACATGGCAAAGCGCCTGCAAACATTATCGATGACAATATCCGATTCTCGTATGAATACGTATTACCTGGGTGGAAGTACCTAGTAACGATTATGGAATGTGATCTGGAAAAACTTATTGGAATTCAACTCGGATACTGTGAAGCTTGTTCGATCCATCAATGCAGGCAGAACTAGTATTGTGTATGGAGGCAAACTTAATGACAAGGATCCTGTAGTAGTAAAATTGGCGAAAGAGGAAAAATATTTGAAAGAGAAAAAAATGTGCTAGAAAATTTTAATTCGCCTTATACTCCAAAACTCCTTTGTGTTTGGTAAGATGAGAAATCCCTTGTCATAACTCCTCATAGGCATGAAAGTCAAAAAATTTGCAAAAGAAGGATGTCAGAAATATCATTGACACCCTGCGGATGGTAATATCGTGCATATGGATCTTCGGAGATATAACTTTATTCGTGATCATGGCGATATTATTGATTGGGGACATAGCACAACAAGAAATGAAACTGGTCATTTCGCTGGAGCACTTGAGTGTATGCCCCATGGCAACTTAAATTCATTGGCCAATGGCGAACAATTGCTAAAAGTCGACAACGGCGGTATCTCCCTCCGAAAAACATCCCTTCGCCGAGCATGCTCCGAGTTATCTCCCTCCGAAAAACATCCCTTCGCCGAGCGTGCTCCGAGTTATTGTAAAAAGATATCTTATATACTCACCAAGTATTGACTTGATATGCTTGGCAAGGTCGTTTTACATAATACTTCACAAGCCAGCAAATACAGCAATGGAAAGAATTTCCTTTGATGAAATCCCTGACTTCAAATCATGGGAAATCAGATTTTTGGCAAAAAATCTATCAAGAAGCGAATGACTTGAATTATGATACATTAATCAAAGAACTTAAGTACTATTTTAACATTTGATGTAAAGTGAAATGATTAGGCGGAAAATTATACACGTAGATTGGCATTTTATTCGAGAAGGAAAGTGACAATAATAAATGGACGACTATAAAAAATGTTTGCAGTTTTAATCCACTATGGCATTAGTACTTTTATTTATCCATTACCGTTTCTAAAATCATAGTAATTGCGACCTATTGTCGTGTTTGGACGACAAAAATAACACTTTTCGTTATCATGACATAGACGATTCGAGTCTCATGCAGCATATTCACGTGGCTTGATCATTTTATTGACATTTGTTCCTTGATTGCCAACGCGCGCATTATTGTCAATTGCAAAAAGAATAATAAACTTTGGTTACAGATAAGAAATACTGGGTTGTGACAAAAATAGTTTCCAACTCAAATCAAATTAATACACGGACATCAATCTCGTTCTGAGAACTATTGTGTTAGTTAAATATGGGTATGATTAACACCAAGTTTCATATGTAATAAAACAGCAACTATTTCAATACCTACATTAAATGTATTCGTGATAAGGTTCTTTTCCTAAAGAATGAAGCCCCGCGTATAATATAGCAAGATTAGCGAAATGAAAATCCCACCAACCACAGTCAGAGTAATATGGCAAAACGCTTCATGCATTAGTATGTAAAGGGTATTTTTTTTCCTGACACGTGAATACATCTTCGCTATCATTGCCATCTTCAAATCATCGTTCGATTATAACTAACACAATGGACTAATTTGACTAGTGTCGGAATAACGCTCATGCATGTGAATTTCCCCACAATATTTCTAAATATGTATTGTGCGCAGTAGATCTCACTAGTATAGACTAATCCTCAACTGATAGAGCATTATGCATGTCTGTATTCATCATCCATTTATGTTTATTCGTTTAGAGTCGAGAGCGCTGTTCTCGAAAATCATATATGATTTCGTTTTTTGATTCCTTAGATCTAATGGTGGAGTAATTGTAATCGTCGCGATTTAGCAATATGTAAAATATGTCGTAAACTTGTAATCCGGAATTAATCTCAAAGGAACAATAAGAAGAAAATTAACAAAATTATGTGTATATACAGAGAAAACTGCATTCTATATATATAGGCCATGACAAGAATACAAGATAATGTGGTGGCAATTACAGTGTGATGTATCGTGCAAATGGTCAGAATGCTCGATCATCATTGGTTATGAAAACATTGAGAAAATATCCGGATATAAATTAAGAATTCAATTCTTAAAGGTTGTTGTGTTCTTGACCAATGTTTTGGAGGATTATATAGGCTTGCATTAAAAGCATTCGTATGTCCAAGTTTCACCCTTGTTTTTTCCACCCGACTGCTAAGCGGAGGCAGTAGATGTGGATCCCTCGTTCTCTTCATTTGGCTTTCTGCGCTTTCCTGGTCTCTCCACATCCAATAATCGTGGATCTTTCTCTACAACCAAGCTTCGCAACCACTTGTTCTCCAACTCCAACTCACGCAATTTAGTTTCAAGAGCCTCGACTTTAGCTGTCATTTCACGTGCTGTACGTTCTAGTGCTTGTTCTCTCATCTTTTTCTTTATGCGGAATCGAGCAGATGCAGCAGTATTCCTACGACGTTTGTCTTCCTCGGCGGCAAGTTTCGCAGAAATTTCCGAATCAGCTACGCCCGGTTGCGCCGATTGCTGGGGTGACTGTTGAGGAAGTACAGGTTGGTCGTCAGAGGACTTGGAAGCGATAGATAACTTTCTGGCATTGGTTATGGCCTTTGATCCGGAATTCTTGCGAGATGCATTAGAGACTCGAGTGGACAGACTGTTTGCTCCAGTCATTACTTGCCCCTGCATGACCAATTCTCCAACTTCCACACTGGTTGCCCCAGCTACTGCTGGAGCTGGACAAATGGGAAGGTAGTTGGTGGTTGGCGCAGACGCAATCGGAGTGCTTGGTGGCGAAGTAGTTCGCGAAATATCTGCCACTCGGCTTGCAGTTGGATGGGAAAAAATCCCGTTTATCGAAGACGAAGAGTCTAGGTAAGGTTTCAGTAAGCCATATTCAGCATAATTCGTAGTAGCTTCCCTGTTTTCAGTCTCTACTTTCGTTTCCTTTGACTCATAAGAATAATCGTCCTCGAGCAATCCCATCGGTGCCATGTCATAAGTGAATTGGGTCCTGATCCAAAACTCCAATTCAGCATCAAGTTCGTCCTGGGACATCTTTGGGGAAGTCGAGGTGGGTAGTGTAGGTTCGAGTTCCGGATATGAGGAATAAGGGTTGTACGAGTTTGATGACATTTTGATGGTTTTTTTTTTACTATGTGAAAGGCTAAGAAGCCACCGCCTTTCCCCTTGTCACTATATATATTTGCGCGTATAGTTTGGAAGATTTGCCTTGTCAAGCAGAGTAATGCCACCCCTTTTCAGCATTTGATGATTTTATAAAAAAATTTTTTTTTTGCTGACTAAACATTGCTATTACTATTACTATCGCTTGCATCACTTTGTTAACGAATGCATTTATCGTCTAGTATACTATTTATTATCCATTTTGGGGAATGATCCGCACATCAATACTAATTTTATTATGTGGATAACAATATGCATCGGCATCATTCTTTGAAATATTAAACCTATAAACGGTCTTATATCAAGTGGGAAACAGACAAAATCGGTACAATACCTGTTCTTTATCTGTTGTTTCCGTCTCGCAAAAGACGTCTTTGGGGCTATTCGCAGCTCTTTGATGATGCACTAGCCTCAATAACGATGGCTTTTACCTACAATCGAAGATTAAATCAGTGATGATAATGATAAGATGATGCAATAATGGTTAGCCTCGGTATGGTGGTTCTTTTTTTGGGAATTCGGGAGGGAGACTATCAACTTTAAAATATATTAGTATTACTATCTAACTTTGGTCTTTGACGAGTTTTTTCGTCTGTGCGATACCAGATCACATGAAACAAAAAAATACGACACGTTGCAAAGTCTTTCGTCTGCTCGACGGCTTGCCTTCTTGTGATGATAGATTAGTGTGAAACTTTCGTAAATGCATCTCCCCCACCCATTTTACGGAACGAGATTTATCATTTTCGGCTTCGCGCGAAAATTTAACCGGTAACATATTACGTAGTTGATCAGGTGATAATTGTGTAATATAAATAATAAGGTAGATTTTATGTTTCCAAAAGAATCATGCTGTATATAATCGGACTAGGATTATCGGACGAAACAGATATTACAGTAAAAGGCCTTAATGCTCTCAAGTCATGTGAGCGAGTATATCTGGAATCATACACGAGTATACTTCTCGCCTCAAAGGAGAAATTAGTAGGGGATCCACCTATTAATGAAAATTCTCCGAATTGCGCTAAATCAACACTAGTTAATTAAAATCACAACAACTTTAGGAATCTTTCTATGATCTTGAAATACAGCTTGCGGATCGCGAGCTTGTAGAGTCAGATTCTGCGACAATTTTGCAGGGAGCAGATAAAGTCAATGTTGCATTCCTGGTTGTTGGAGATCCATTTGGGTAAAAAACAAGCTAGTAATCCTTCCCTTTCTATATTCAATCTTTTTACTTTACTGATTGCCCTTTATTTTAACAACAGCGCGACTACGCACATTGATCTTGTTCTGCGTGCACGAGAGATGGGAATTCCCGTGACTACCATACATAATACATCAATAATAAATGCTGTTGGGGTTTGTGGTTTGCAGCTATATAATTTTGGACAGACGATATCGATACCGTTTTTTACGGATACATGGAGACCAGATAGTTTCTATGATCGAATAAAAGAGAACAGAACTATTGGATTACACACATTATGCTTATTAGGTGAGTCTACGAGAATCAGTGACTTTTTTTCTTCTTCAAAAGTGGTTACGTTCTAAAGATAGTCCATTGAACATATTTGTCAACTCTATGTGAAATGTGTGGTCCCGTTTTATTTTCGTAAACGGTATTAATTTGTCTCCACAATGCTTGCATAACTTTAGACATTAAGGTTAAGGAACAGAGTATTGAGAATCTGGCAAGGTTACTATCCAAATAATATGATTGCACATGATACTCATTTTATGGTTTGTGCAACATAGCTTATTATTTCTAAAATTTATCCTATAGAGGACGGCAGATATATGAACCGCCTCGGTACATGACGATAAATCAGGCAATTCAACAGCTTCTTGAAATAGAAGAATCTCGACAAGAAAATGGTAACCTTATCGATATCGTACCATCTTAAAATCTATTTCGGATGTCTAACCACTCTTCTATGACGTAATTGGCCTTAATTACTCTAGCCTACACACCATCCACACTTGCCATAGGACTAGCACGTGTCGGGTCTTCTACGAACCAAGTTATCAAAGTCGGTTCGTTACAGCATCTACTGAATGAAGACTTTGGTCCACCGTTACATTCACTTGTAATAGTTGGCAGCAGAATGCATGTCGTGGAAAAGGATTACATTAGGCATTATGCTGTTGATACAGAATTTGACGCGATTGTCAAGAGAGATTACAATTTATGATAGTGTCACTTTAAAAGTAGTCATCTGAAATCACGTGATTTACTCGATGAATAAAAACTGTACACTATGAATAGATTATATACCCGCCTTGATTGAGAAAATAATTACACGCACTTACAACTAATAAATAATCTATTTGGAGAAGCAAATATGCTTTCTATCAATTATTGCAAAAAATCCACTATTAAAAGTCCCTCGTTCTATAGTAGCTTTTTTTTTTTTTTGAATAACACTTTACATTGCGATCTCGTCCATCATACCACCATGGTGACCCGACATAAGCCCAGTAGCGGGGCCCATTGGATGGATGCGATGTTGTTGTTCAATAAAGAATGTTGCCGATTGTGTCCTTGGCCTTACTAAAACTTGTTGTGCGTTATTGATATAGACTGATTCTGAAAATATACTTGCCGAAATGCTAGAAACACGAACAAAGGGCACCAGTAGCCGGCCAGTTTTAAGCGGGATAAGCGTTATTGGAAATTCTTTAGTCTCGTTCATCTATTATACAGAATATAGAAATAACGCGCCAGTTAGTAATTGGATGATAAACAAAAAGATGATTCAACAAGGTCGATTCCACAGAAGAGTGTCTTATCCACTATCCGTCCGTCCTACCTTGTATGAAAAACAGAGTTTCTTCTGCCCCGAAAGTAGCCAATTGTCAAAGTCAACATTTACATCATAATAAAATTCGATTGCTTCCGCCTGTTGTCTATGATTCCAATACGGTGACTGCCGCACTATCAGAACACAGTGACATGGTTCGCCAACAACCAGATGTTTGGAATTCGGTATAACAAGTTCGACCGTATTAAGAATCTTAAGATTGAAGTACAAGTATTCATTAGGTATAAATCAAATTCTGATTCTCAAGCGCGTTCAATCTGACTTCGACAGCATATATACCTTAGATAATGGTACATCAACAGGAAATGATATCACCGATTTCAAATCTTTGCCGTTATCTTGAACCTCTTCAAAGGTAATTCTGTTGTGTTTCTGACAATTATAATATATTCTATCAATTAAAATCCTCAAAAATACACATACTCGAATATTAAAAAGCTCACCTCCCAGAACTCCTTTACGGCATTAACCAATTCTCCTTTAACATCGCCGTGACTTTGGAACAGTTGTTCACAGCCAGCTATATCTATTTCACCAAGATCAAGTATATCCCCAATACCATAAGATTGGTAATCAAGCAGTTCTAGAAACCGCTCCCTGATGTTCTCAAAAACAAAATCAGAATGCTGGGACATGTTGTATGATTTCAGAACATCGTGGAGTTTCTCTTTTGCAAAGTGTTGGATTTCTGTTGTATTCGTGCGAATAACAGATTTAAAACAATTATAAATATTTGGTTTAGATTATATGAAATTTGAACACATGTTAGTGACATATTTACCATCTTTCAGCGTACGGTATTCCACAAGAAAGTGAATCTGTGTGCTAGGTCTATTCATAATCTCATCATCGTCGACTTCTATTTTAACGGCAAATCAGATTAGAACATACGCGTTAAACCCACAGAAAAAGCACAATGCATCTTCTAACCTTTATTATGCGTTAATTTGTACATGAACGACGCTTGTTGACGAGGAAAGATTGTCTGTAAAAACAGCAAAGCGTATAAGTAGAATTCGATTGATGCTTCCAAAGAAATATTATCAAGTTTTCATACAATTGGTGATAACATTAATGACATTGGTACGCTGTTGGTCACTTCGTAGGCTTTTGAAGGAATTAGCTTTGTTGATAATAGTCGTACGGGTAATGTGTCATTAAGAGTGACATTCATCTTCAAAATCAAACTTGTAAACAATATAGATGATATCATATAGTTAAGAGGAGAATTTAAGCAAGAATTCGACTGATACTGAATCAACATTTACCTGTCTTCTCTGAATATGCTTGTTTCCGTAACAGCAAGGGGTAACCAGACTTTTACAATATTCTTGGCAGTAAAAACTCGTCTTTTATCTTTTGATATATACTCTATTGTTATTTTCACCTATCAATTGGAATTTGGAAGTTATTTCCCATACTCTTTTAACCAAGAAAGCAGACGTAAATAAGAATATCAACCTTATGCTCAACGGCTCCCCAATTGCAGTCATAAAGAATTTTAAGCTGTAACAGTTGATTAGGCCCACAAGACGGTAATTTAATTCCGTTCTCGTCAGCATCCATTTGCTCTTCTTTAATAATCTCGTCCACAACCGTATCATCTATAGATTATTTTCATGGTGATAAACATCGTTATCCTATCAAAATGAAAATCCAATAAAAGACCTAAATCATCTACATACCAACTACCGGCTTTATAACCGTGTGATACGTCGGTTGACTGGGAAAAGATAAACCTTCTGACAAAGGAGCCAATGTCAGCCGACCGTCACTAATACTTGTACGGCCAGTGTGTACCTGGGCAATAAAGAACTGTTGCTCTCCGATGTGAACTGTAATAATCTAACGGTTAGTCATTGTCATGAAAGTTCAAATTAAATGTACAAAGGCTCACTTTCTGTAGGCGCGATCACTTGCGCGCGTAGTACTGCTGGATGTTCATTAATCCTGAACAGTTTTTTCTTGTTTTCATTTAAGAAATTATGCGTGAAGACAAGCTTCCCGATATGCAGGCGACAGTTCTCAACAATATAACTTCCACAAGCCGTAGTCTTTGATTAAGCGGGTTTTTAGGATTGATGACGTCATCTCGGATTTAAATAACGCATGACAAAATATAGAATACTTACATCTGAGAACAATCGATACGAATTTACACCCGGATTAAAGTCTTGGTCGTGGATGGCGAACCATACTTCGTCATCAGTTTGGCCACCGACTAGACGAACTCCAAGCCTTTCAATTTTAAACGACTATATGACAGTCCACGTAAACGTTAGAACTTTCGTTTCCCAAATTGAAAATCAAAGACGACACTTTCAACACATAAATTGATATTACTGTTGGTAAGTTGTTTTTCACTTCAACACCCAAATATGGTTCGTCGTCCGTTATGTCATCAACCATCGCAGTCACGGTAACCGCAAACATTGGCTTGAACGGTCTTACAATCTCTAAACAAACATACTTGCATAAATAAAGACATTACGGAGAAAACTGTCACCATATTATAAATCCTCACCATACCTTTATCAAGAACTTCAGATAACGTTTTCAGTTTCTCTGCATAATGGGTTGCCTCTTCTTTTGTTAAAAGACTATAGTTCTTCATCAATGTTAAACATGACTGCACATATGTTGGCAGCAGTTAAGGCAAACTTAAGGTGAAGAAATGTTGTCTTTCGCTATTATAAATAACTTTGCAAACGGAAAGGATATTCCTTGGTATGCCCAAGTTCTTCCATACACGCGGCATAATTTATCAACAGAGCATTCTCAATCACAGTCCATCCTTGTTCGCCATATTTGATTGGCAGCTCTTCCATAAGAGATGTAGCCTCCTCGTAATTTTTTCGGTGACTATTGACAGAGAGAGAAAATGGTACAAACGATGAAACATAGAATTTCCAAGAATAGAGAAATCCCAGTAAAAACGCGAATGAAAATGCATTATTTTCTTACAATTGTAGAGCTGCAATGTCGCCCTGCAGGCGCAACAAACTTCTTGTACGCATACTGCCTTGATATGCCTTCAAAACTCTGTTTGTTTGGCGCTGTATTCAAGTTTCAATGAAACTCCCTTTCAGCAAAAAAATATCTCGATGCCTATTCCTAGATAGTATTCCGGGATAGCAGCTTACCATATACAATGAATCAAACGAACTTATCGAAGCAATTGCTTCTAATAATTCTTTATTTGTCACTCCAGATTTTTTCTCATCCCCAGTTTCGGAAGCTTTCTCTGACGCTGACGGGGCTTCGCTCAATGCAGTCGTAAAGGGCAACACCTCCGGAAGATGACCACAATAGATTCCCAATTTGTCAAGCTAGAAAAAATCAGTCTTGGTCAGAATAGAACTTCCTTCATCGTCATTAAATGCCTGAGTACCTGTTTCCTCGCCAAATCCAATAGTTCTCCTTTTGCGGCATTGAAAGCCGTAGATGTTTTCTCATCAGGAGTAGTCAGTGGCGCCAACTCCTCGCATTCACCTACAACGTTAATACACGAAGAGTACACCCAAGATTCCAAAAAATGCTCAAAATCCATCATGTTTTCTTTTATGGATCTAGCAAATGTTGATATAAATAGTTGTGCCCTGCGACATATCTCCACAGGACGCTGTAATCGTCCTAATAGTTGACATTGCCTCGCAAATAGATAGCTTCGGAAATCAAACACCGAGATCGAATTCTGCATAATGAGTTCACGGTATGGCTTTTTTTTTATGTCCAATATGTTGGCACTATCGTCACCTGGTTCGCAAGCACCAAACTTACCAAACCAGGCAAGCGCTCTGTCTGACTCAATGGACAAAGATTGGATATCAGTAACGTGCAAAGCCGCTGTTTAGTCGACTGATGAATGATACAACCTTTGAGAACTTGAAAGAAAGACGCTTCCAATTCATCATATTGTAGCAGCGCATCTTCGTAGAGGTTCATAATTTCGAATGATTGAGCCAATCCTTCCTTATTTGTACACAAATTTCTATTTAATATTTTAGTCATTATAATGATCATTAATCCATCTTGCACATTTCATTTTGTATACCTTCTGTATGAAAAACCTGCAATAATTCCAGCCGGGAACACTACGCTGAGCATCCAAGCGTCTGACATCATCCTCATATTGAGTTACGTGCTGACCAAAGCTACTGAGTATTCCTTCCTTTATCTTTAAAATGAGATCTTGCCAAATCTCGAAAGTTTCGGTGTCATGATCGTTTAAACGAAGTTGTACACACCTATACAAAGGTCATAATAAGAATCATTACCATGTTCACAATGATAAATCATCAACCAGTGATCAAGATCAATTTTTTTGACCAAAACTTAACGTATTCTTCCACAAATTCTAAAATACTGAAACATACCTGTCCCGTTTAGATGCATTGAAGTCGGCCTTAATTTTGTCGAAGACCGTTCCTTTCATATTAAAGTATTTGGAGGCCGAAGTTCTTATCGTATCTTGTTTAGGGACATAAACAATGAGCCATTCTTGATTTTTCCTGAATGTTATCACGTTTAACCAATCACGAATTTGCTTGCGAACTTCTTGGCGGTAGGTTTCGTGATCCTATGAAATTGATTAAAGAGAGTGAGAGAGACGTAAATTTATTTTTTCTTTGATGAATGCACTCGGCGCCAATTATGGTTGAATAATTATATTTCCAAAAAAAAAAAAAAAAAAAAAAGTAATTAGAAGCAAATTTCCAAAGAAACATAATTAGAAACAAATTTCTAAAGAAACATAATTGGAACCAATATTCGATTGCAAATCCACTGCCTGCCAATCTTCACAATTTAATCGGGGCAGGTCTAAGAGCTACTTGTCGCTAAAGTCGCGCCTCATGTACTTACATCACAGTTTACAAAGTACAAATGGAGATAAGGTCTTTCTAAGAGTGTCACTGGCATTTCATGCTGGCTCTCATTTGACCCTGGAACAAATCGCTTAAGGTCTACAGGCAAGGCCTGTATGATCCGTACGGGCCTGTTCGCTGACTTCCAAGTGAGATTTCGGAGAGGAAGATTAGAACGAAAGTCATCAACTAGGTTGGGCCAAATGCCAAACTCGTCCGTATCTGTAATATTGGTGTCAAGAGGCGCCTTAGTAATGCTCTATAGAGAAAACTATGCCGTAATTGACTTACAAGTGATAGTGACTTTTTTTCCATCCATAGTGATAATAAAAATGTGAAGGCAAGGGGAATAGTAATAGATTTTAACAGTATACCACGTGACATGTGTAATTAAATTAAAATTACAGTCCTAGAACGACCCTTCCCTCAGTTATTAGTAAGATCAGAAATTGTTGAAGTTCAGGCAATTAAGTTGTTGAGCTTCTCCAAAAGACTGTCGAGCTTCAACAAAGAAATGTTTTATTTCTTATTTCTCTTTTAGTTTTAATTATTTGATTTTCCTGTATTTGTATATTATCTTTTATAAATAAAAAAACATCTCCGTTTTCTAACTTTATATTTATCACGACATTTATTATGTCGATAGGACACTTGGAGTTTATTTATTATTTATGCAACTTGATTTAAACCAAATTTCTAGCATGCTACAACAATGTCTAGCTTGTCAAGCACGACCAAATGGAACAAGCGATGTTCGGAATAGTTACAACTGGAAAAACATGGCGATTCCCTGGGAATTGGAGAACTAACGGTTCATCGAAAAGTGTGGCATGAAACAAGACGAACGGGAAAGAAAGTAACTGTAACAATTTACGTGGATAATTTCAATCTTAATCTTATCTAAACGATCCCGATTTAAAGAAAAATTAAGTAATCAAAAATTTAAAAAGAGTGATCCTGGTGGTCATTTAAATAAGCAGGTTAAATAATTCATTAACAAATTCAATGTGTCCATGCTGTTTCAAAAAAATTTTATACTAGTAGACGGCACTAGGAATTTAGCTATCTTCGACGGCTCTTAGCAATAGTTAAAGCTCGGGTAATCATTTCGTCGACGATCATTTCACCGACAAATCTTCACCAACATTATTTCGAAGTTATCCTTTTTTGGTAGCTAATTGTCGGTGAAATGTACTATCGGTGAAATGATTGTCGATGAAATAATACGTGACCTTCAATCTCTAAGGTTTTTACACTTACGACTCACTACGTCGATGAGCCTTGACATATTAATTGTCCTAATATAACAAACAATTAATTATCGTATTTGCCACTCAAAATAATCGCGGCGATTATTCTTGATCGATATAGGGATTAGTGACAACTATACTAATACCGATAATAATAAATTACCAAGGAAATCATTAACAATGTATTTCGGAATATCGGACGGACGGACACTGAATCTAGCTGAAATCTACGTTGCTTTTATATCTTTCGAACGGACTAATTAATCTATTTTAGCAACGGTTCTTATTAATCGGTATACGCTATTGCGTACGTGTGCTGCACTCACATGTTACGAATACGTCATCGTTGTATAGCATCACGAAGTGCAGGGCAATTTATTTATACCCAGACGCACATACGACAGTTCACTCTTAACACTCAATAAAACACTACATAACCGATAAAAAGGAACTAATTCTGTATGACATCGATAATCGTCGAAAAGACTAAATTGACCATAGAATTACTCGGGCAGAAATAAGGTTCTCTCCTTGTTACCGGTGCCGCGTCAATATAACCCAAAGACTTCATTGATTGGGGGATTATCCCGATGGAAGAAGTGGAACCAGAGTTGGTAACAGACAACAATTCAACAAATGGAACAATATCCGAACGATTGTATTATTATTATCGGCAATCTGGGAATCAACAAAAGTCAGTTAACAACAAACGACAATTCGATACGTGATTGACTACGTCTGTGTTATCACGGTAGCTGATATATATCAGCTGTACTGTCCTCCTTGCCCGCTACACATCCCCCATAGAGCAGCTACTCTCTATTAGACTAAGCCGTTGTCGGATGGACTTAACCGAAGTGTCGATGAAAATGGACTTGGAACTAAATTTTGAGAATATCACCCAGTCAAATGCTCTCCCAGATAATAATATCGGTAGAGAATAATAAGCAGAAACCATATAAAAAACACTTACAAACTATAAATTGTTGGGTGTTTAGTGTTTTTAAAACGGAATATAAAATTTTGCTTCTAGTTGTCAGGCAAATGAACATTTACCTCATGGGATTATGTATCAATAATATATGATTATGATATGAGCCTCAAGAACTAATGAGAGGGAAGATAAATTTGATGACTAAAAAGGGGAGTTGGTAAGATATCTATTACTATACCTTAAAAATCTTTGAAGTAAAATGTTCGATACTAATATTAATTGTCATTTGTCACTATTATTATCCTTTAAAAGGTGTTAACACAATACGAGAGATTGCAAGAGTGCTTGAAAAAAGAAGAGTTACCATTACTGCATTGCAATGGTGGTAGCACCTTCCTTCACCAAGATGCAGTTAAGGAAGTAGGAGAATCTCCATATCCTATCAAGCTATCAAAACCGATATTATATGGTCTATGGAGCTAACCGATCTGGAATTCTCTATTGGGGAAATCAGTGGACCACCGAACCAACTCGATCATTCACATTCCTTTAACAATGATAAGGAAGACGAGATAGTAAAAGATCTTGAAGATTTTGTTGCCCTTAATTTGCATAACTTTGTGGAGAAGGAAGGGGTAGGCGTTGTTTTATGCAATGCAGTAATGGCAACAGACAAAAAGATTGAAGGGTTGAAGGAGCAAATAGAACAGGCACTAAAAAAAGGCGAAAGAAATAATGTTAATGTTAGAAAGAGAGAGAATAGAGCGGAGAAAGGAGAGGTTCATTTTTTATATAATTATAATATTAAATATTTCAGTCCTATTACTATCTCTATTTTTATATAATAAATAAATAAATAAATAATAAAAAATACAGTTTTCCAGTTCCAGTATTCAGATTTATTTATACGTTTATAAACATTAACATTAACTCATTAAGGTCCTTGCTTCACAACTAAGAGGACACTTAGCGATTTGCTCCAGTATCTTGGTGGTTGATTATTTCACTAATACCTATGCTTGTGTAGAATCGTCAGAGGTTGATATTATTCTCGCATATAAAGGAAATAATTTTTCTATATATTTTAAATTCCTCATTATAGTCACCGAACATTTCACAAAATTCGATAGGGAAGTGTGAATACGTAATGTTCTAGCGACTTTGCGACGTATTGTTGTATCGATGAATTTCACATAATAACCGTCCTTAATATCATGTATTGATATTTTATACCCATGTCAATGATGACAACATATAAGTTATAGTTACATAAGCATTGGATATGGTGCGCCAGAGTCGTCAAAAGTCTGTATTTTAATACAGATTTTCTGTATTTTAATACAGATTTTCTGTATTTGAAATACAGATCTTCTGTATTTTTATACAGATTTGCTGTATTTAAAA